CTCCCCTGCTCTCCTCCCCATCTCTGCTCTCCGCTCCTGCTCTCTTCCCCCCACACCCCCTGCTCTCCTCCCTGCAGCCCCCTCACTGGGTGAACCTGGCCCAGGGGTTCAACCTATGACTTGTGCTTTTCCCAGCGCCAATGAGGAGCCAATGAGAAAGAGCCGGAGCTGAATGCCCAGCCATGGCCGGGCCCTGGATGGCGGCTCCCTGTTGGAGGGCCCTGCTCCTGCTGCTGGCCTCCCAGGCGGTGGCCCTGGTGAAGTGCTCAGAACCTGATGACGTTCCCGAAGAGTGGCTCCTCCTGCACGTGGTTCAGGGCCAGATTGGGGCGGGGAACTACAGCTACCTGAGGCTGAACCACGAGGGGAAGGTGGTCCTGAGGATGCAGAGCCTGCGAGGGGACGCCGACCTGTACGTGTCCGACAGCACCCTCCACCCCAGCTTCGATGACTACGCGCTGCAGTCGGCCACCTGCGGCCAGGACGTGGTCTTCATCCCTGCCCACTTCCAGCGCCCCGTGGGGATAGGCATCTACGGACACCCGTCGCACCACGAGAGCGACTTCGAGATGAGGGTCTATTTCGACAGGACGGTGGACCAGTACCCCTTCGGCGAGGCTGCCTACCCGGCCGAGGGCGCCGAGGCCGGCCAGAAGCAGGCCTACAGCCCCGAGGAGGCGGCTCCCGAGGAGGAATCTGTGCTCTGGACCATTCTCATCAGCATTCTGAAACTGGTCCTGGAGATCCTGTTCTGACTCCCCACCACACTCCAGGGCGGTGCCCGCAGGCTGTGGAGGGGACCTGGCTACTTCAACCTGGCTGAATTCTGGTTCCTTTCTCTATAGAGGAGGGGTGGAAAAATAAGCCATACCATTTTGTTACCTCACATCCCCAAAATAGGAAAAGCAGGTAGTTTTTCTTTCGAAGCTCCAAATTTGTATAAACGGAAATGCCCAATTAAACATTTAATCTCCATTATGATCAGTTTGTCAGGCCACCTAAAAATTATTACAGTAACTAAAGCTTACATAAAAGAAATCAAAATATGAAGTTCAGCATGTTTTCAGGAGTTCTTACTAAAATCAAGTCCAAAACGCAATGATTTACTTAAATTTCCCTGAACATGGACTAAAGACCCAAGTCTGCCCCAAGTAGGGATGTATTATAGTCTGTGTGTACCATTCTAAATCCCCCTCTGTACCAGTCTTATCAGGCCATTTGCCATTTTATCATTTGGGGCTTCCTATCACTAAAGTCCTTTAGTTATTAGGTAATTTTTGTTTTACTACTTATGGCAGGTCAGAAGCACCACCACAGAGTGGAAAGGGTAAAAACAGTAGTTTTTCAGTCTAAAGTTAAAATATTTCCAATTAAGTTGCTAAATATTTCTACTCAATTTTTTAGAGAAAGCCAAACCACTGAAATTTAAAGAAAAAAAAATATTTTTTTTGGAATAGTTGCAGTTTCCTTACCTGTAATTAGGTTCAAGGGTAACAGTAGCTTATAATGAAATGAGTCAACTAGCAGATTTTAAGCTCAGAGTTAATTTCAAAAATCCTTTATTGGCATAAAAATGAGGCTGTTTTAAATAAATCAGCACCAAATATTCCACTTCAGTGCATATGCATTAGAGCCCCCAAAAAGGATTTTATCCCTCTTTGCTGTTTTTCCCCCTTCTGCCCACTTTCCTGGGTGTTGGGGGGGCTCGCTGACAACAGTCACAAATCCAGCGACCTAGGAAAAAAATTGTTATTAATATAGAGTGGAATCTTATTTTTATAGGACTGAATATCAAACCATTTAGGTCTCCTTCCTTAGCTGTCACTAGTGATGATCCCCTGTGGATTTATGTAAATGTCCCTTAAGATGACCGGTAAGCTCAGTAATCAAATCCTAATGCAAAACCTAGCACAGAATCTGGCCTTCTTCAGCTTTTTTCTTGGCTGCTCCAACAGCATTCTCAAATCCTGGTATACTATGCTGACACAGCAATTTGAAAGTTTTAACTGCAGGCTAGGCTGCACTACATACTTGATCTGAATTTCTACAGAACATTAAATAATTATTTAACTTGCTTGCTTCTCAGTGGTTCCCGGGAAACAAATCTAGGCATATATTTTATAGAGTATCATACAGTGTTAACTATGCAAATAAGTTCTAAAGTTACACAATTATCTGTGTAATGTCTTAGTCCAATTACTGTAACTGACTGATTGTGTTCTAATTCTAAAGTTACCTGGAATTGTCGCAATGCCTCAGTTTATGGATATATGTTCTAACGTGTAAGGTGAAGCAATCTAAGTTTCTAGATAGTTGACATATAAAAATAAAATCAAAGCACTAAAACAAACTGATGCTCTTAAAGTACTTTAGCTATTTCAGCAGGAAAACACCAGCTCATTCTGTACATTGAACTGTACTTCCAAAGCAGCCTAGGTGCTCTGACATTTGTCTTTTAGTTGTATTTGTCTAAAGATGAAAAGAAGGTGGGCGTGACCTGGGTAATAATGGCTTCTACCATGTTTGGACAGAATGGTCTGCGGGCCATGCCTTCATGTCATTAGAGTGTCTGTGTAGCCTTAAGAAGATGCTGGGAGAGTCTCACCAAAGATAATGCACTTTTAAAATCTTTACCTGATGGAATAGCACCAAGGCCCACACAAAAAGTATGATAACCTCTGTCACACACATCACAGAACATCATTTCTTCTTCGTGGTGGGGCTGTCCACATACAATGCATGTCTTACACTCCATACACTGCCATGGGTAGGTCTTAATGACAGAAACAAGCTCCATGGTCATGTCCAGGCAAGAAGGATGGCCTAGATCAAAACCAACAGTAGCATTTCACAAAGGGCTTTTAACTAATTTGGCACATAAAATACTGGTCTGCTTCAGGACTTGCCAACAATGGCTACAGTACTTAAATCACCAAAGATAGGAAAACACAATGTAGAAGAAAACACCCAGCCTTGTCACACAAGATTACCCTGTTACTGCATGACCACTGAAGTCCAACTGACTTCTACAAACTCTACTTTTTGAAGCAACAAATAGGGTGGGGTCATAATCTTAGAAGATGTCACCGTACTTACCACTGTTATCACACTGGGAGCAGTGTATAAGTGACTCAGCCTTTCCTTTCTTGTTGGACTCCTTACCCTTCAGACAAATCCCACATAGAGCATTTGGAATGACCTTTGGCTGGAAGGGTAGAAGAGGACTGTAAATTCATGCAGGAGCTTGCTGTGGTTCAGGGGACTATTACTTTGTCACCTTATCTTTACTTCTGGGAACTCACTATTGAGGACTTTGAAAGACATAACTGGGCAAGAGTCTGCTCAGAACAGAAAACAGCGTATGGATGAAAGTCTTAGAATTCATTTAAAACTTAGTAAACAGCATGATCTCGTTTGTTAGGATTAAACGTAGCATTCTTCACTTGCGACATACATATAGTACTGTCTGTATAATTAATCGGAAGCAAAAACAAAACACAAAATCAAATGTCACTATTAAGTGGAAGAGAAAAATCCTCATCACCAAATGATATTACATGAAAGTTAAGCTAAGTTTTAAGCAATTTATGTACTGTTTTAAAATCCTGATATTTCCAAAGTTGAAAAACTTGACATTTTAAAAAAACAGTATTTTAACATTTTTATTTGAAAGATGTCTTGAACATGATCATATGCATAAGTGTTTGTGGAAAACTGAGTTGTGATTACTCTTTGTATATTTAATAAATTAGAAGATCCTATGCTAACGGACAAGCACAGTCACTATGGGGTAGAACAAAAAGGACAAGGTTTCAGATAAGCGAAAAGTTGTCACTTAAGAAATACACATATTTGGAGTACTATTATCTTTCAGACTAAAAACACACACAGCACCTGGGCTTTAAACGTATTTGGCATCACATTGGAAAGAACAACGGAAAAAGGGTTCCCTACAGGTTACACTGTCAGGAAGGAAGGGTGCCTGAGCAGCACAGCCTACAGATGGTGCAGGCTGTGGGCAGCACATACCTGGTAGGAAAGGAGGAGCAAGTGGGGTCCAAGAAGGAGCCTGGGCAGGAGGGAACCCACAGTGAACTAGAATGATCATGTTTCTGCTTTATTCCAATACAGCCAAATGCACCTTGTATATCCTCTTCCTAAGTTACTGCACCAAAGAGGAATCTAAACAAAACTCAAGCTTTGTATAACATATTCCAGCTTTGAAATGTCTCATTGCCACCTTCAAAACCTGTCAGGCCTGAAGAATTTATTCTTAATTCTTTCCATTTTTTTATTTCTTTAGTTTTCCTTCTTTGCAAAAGATGACAGAGGCATTCAAAAAGAATTTTTGGCTTATTTATTTTAAAAAGTCAACCTTATACATAAATAATGATAAAAACAATAAATCTAAACAATCACAAATGTCTCTACAAAATAATAAATATCACGGAAGTTAAACATACATATAAAATGTCACCATTAACTATTCTACATCTCCTACGTGTGTATTTTCATACCCTGCTCCCCCAACAAAAGGATAAGAGTCACATGCTCAGACCTCAAGTCCTGCAGTGGAGCTGCCCTCTGGGGTACCCCTACCTCCTGGCACACCCTTCCCACTGTGTTTCTGCACCCCAGTGAGAGACGGCTCTAAGTGCACTTCTGTGATCCCATCTGTAACTGCCTCTCCATCCACCAAAACTGAGAAGTCTCTTCTGGTTATGGTACCTCTACTGGACATGAAGACACCCGCACTTCACACATGTGGTTTTCAGTTACATACTGGTGTGGCAAGCACTCCTTTCTCCCACTGAAGTCAGGGAAGTAACTATACAACATTCTAGAAGGAGAACTCCTCATAGGAGTGCCTTTACAAAACAAAAGTCAAAGGGTACAGCGCAAGGCTAGGCATTCACATTCTAGAGCAATTCAAGTTCTACAATCATTAAAATATACATAAATGCCTATGATAAAAGGAACACTACGAAGGTTCTAGGCTTACTTCTAAGTTCAAATCATGTTTTGTTAAAACAACTTACAATTTTTCTCACCCAACAGTCTTCTTGATGGAAAGAGGAAGAGAGAGAAGAGGGGAGAAGACAGAGTGCTGCAGCGTTTCCTCAGTGCGTGTGAGCATCGGGGCTCTCTGCAAGGTCCAGGCCTATACCAGGACCTCGCCCAGGAGAGCCACCAAGGTGGACAGAGGAGGAAGGTCTTCCCCTGGACTGCAGGGGAGGGAGGAGGAGGGAAGCCAAGTGCAGACGCCCTGGAGACTCATGGACAGAACTGTGGGTCTGACCCAGACACTAGGTTCTACTTCAAAAAACCAGAAAGACATCAGAGTTTTACTGATGACAAGAAAAGTAAAACACTCCCTCGCAGTTCAGCATCTCAAATAAAAGGCTCACAATACACTTATCTTCCGTCTTGAAAAATAGCCAAAGATAAGTGAGACATTCATGGTAGCATTAAGATAATATAGATTTTAATCACGTACTTAACAGCCCAGAACCCTAACAATTATGCTTTAATTTCAGGTTAATGTAACCCAAACAATACTGTCCTACAAACTACGGGTAAGCACTCATGGAGCTCTCAGATGAATGATCGCTTCTCGCCCCGAACCCAGTGTGTCTGTGTGAGCGTCAGCTTGGAATTCCCTCATATTTAGGCACGTCTTGGCTTAATACTTTTAAGAGAGAGGTTAAGCTTTTAATAAACATGTTCACATTAAAGTATTTGTCTAGACACTAGTTGTTCCCACCCTTGAAATACTTGAAACATTTTTGGTACCAAAAATGTTCACATAAAATTATAAAATGTGTAGTTTGCATATCAGACTCCCTTGAGTACTGTTTAGATTAATCTATATAATTTCTTATCTATTAGATCAATGATAACGTGGATCGTTCTTCACTTTCAGTATGAAAATATCTGTTTCGATATTCTCTTTTAACCCATGATCAGACAGGCCTGTTGTAAGATCCACTCACACTGAAGAGCTAGGACCGTGTGCTCTGAGCCACCACTCAGAGTGGACGCTCCTGGACCATGAGCACACTCACTCATTACATTTCTGAAATTTAATCTTTGGAGTTCATCTGCTTTCAGTCATTAAGGATTAACTTAAATCTTTAGTTTAAAAAACTTAGAAAAGCTATATATGTAAAAACAAGTACAAAAGTCTCCTAGCTGCAGCCTGCTGAAACCACCGTGGAAGGCGACCCCTGCAGGACACAGCTCCAATCTGCTTGTCACGGCCTGCAAAAACCTGTGTTTTTAAGTTGAATACATAAAGGCATTTTCTAATAAAATA